TGTAGAAAGGAGTGTAAATAATTTTGTTGATGTGCTTACAAATTGCACTTACTTTTAAACATAAATAAATATTCTTGTAATATTATCGTTAGAAGTGTCTGCCACAAGGGGATTGTATTGGTATGAATAACTTGAGAACGGCGAATCTTAGGGAAAAATTTAAAGTCACCTTTTTTACGTATTTTGTGAATTAAAATATAAATCAGTTACAATGACATGTAAAAAATGCAGTGGCGTAGGTTTTTTTTGTAAAAAAGGGGATGACCCCTGTCCAGTTGTACACCACTGGTTGAACCTTTACATATTTCAGGGAATATAAGGCCTACTATCATACATTATATGTACCAAATTTTATTGAGGTCGGTTAATATATTCCGGAGATATAAACAAAAAATCAATTTTTTTGACAACTTCAATACCCTGTATCTCTAAAACGGTGCCATTCCAGACCTATGTTTATAAGGCAAACACATATTATATTAAAGAGATCTATCTGCCCTCGAAGTTTCCTGCATAAAATTCGGACCACCCTGTATATTCTATACTCTAAAAACGTTGCAACTGTAATGTTTAGAAATCTACTCACGCAGAATGATTAAAATTATTAATAATTCAAATACCTTATGTTGAGTTAAATAATGAAAATCAAATTATAACACTGATGACATACTCCCGCCTCAGAAATGCTGCAGTGCCATTGGGCAACTCAAGGTCAAAGTTTATAGGCAACCTAAAACCTTTTAAATTACCTATATCTAAATTTATTTACCATGTTAAATGTTGATTAAAGCGTACATTATAGACCTCCTATAAATCCCAGCCAAATAAGGTGTTACAGACACTGATTTAGTAATTTCTCTTACATTCTTATTTAGTGACGCCAATAAGAATGATCGTCTATACTCCGCGGTCGAAATTATAGAGAGTGATTCATCGCTAGCTTTTGGACTAGTAAGGGGGATGAAGCGTGCCGGAAACGAAAATCCATTGGCATGTCTGCGTAAAAGGCAACAAGATATAGAAAATATTGAAAAAAGATAATAAAACACAACATCTAATATTTTTTACGGTTTGCTATAACCGGCACTTTGATCCATTTTAATTACTACAGCATTTTGAAACGTCCCAGTTGTGTTTTTTAATTTATAAATTTATAATAGCCATGGAATTAGACCCCTCGTCTACGCTTATGCTATGACGTTTCTCAGGACGGATAAATCAAGTACGTTTACACCCACTAAAAAAGCATTTCCCTATTCCCTACCAAGTGCAAAAGACAGAGATAGAATATAGATCGACGTTCAGTGTAACTCGGTATCTAGACGATTATAGATTCTATCGATGTGTGTAGCGAGCGGCACAAAGATAAATAATATTGAACCGTATAAAAATCATTTTATATTTTATACGCATTATGGTAATAGTGTTTTTATATTATGTCTGAGTCACTCTCTATAATTTCGACCGCGGAGTAGTATTTTACATATATTTTATTGATATATTTTGAAACATAATGATAACATAAGGAGAATACCTAAAATCGAAATTACATTAAAATACCTACCAATTTTTACAAATTTTTCACATGCTCGAAATAGTGAATGACACAGTTGAAAACATTCTTTAATTTACTATTTATTGCATTAAAAATCAATTCAGGATTAAATTTTGTTGAAGTGTCCCCACAAAAAATGACTAAGGGACTGAAATTCTGGCTGTTATATGTGATATTTTTTACAGTATTTGTTGACGGGATTCTTCTTATAAATAAATTTGCGTATATTCCCGCCGTACTTACGCAATATTTGATTAATATAGTTTAATTAATTGTTTCATTCTTATAATAATAAATCCCATGTGTTTTTAGAGGAAGGTTTGGTTCGGTCATTTTTGTCTGATGGTGTGCGAGGGAGACAGAGCTATAGTGAGTGAGAGAGATAGAGCCATTGTGTCGTCATAGAGAGCTTTTTCTGTCTCTCTCACCGGTGTCTTCAGGGGTCTCTGGAGCTTCTCCAGCGTCTTCAAGATACGTAGGGCTTCTCTCCAAGAAAGGAGTATGGCGTAGAGCGCGGGACCTTTTTAGCCTTCGTCATCGAGCTATGACGTCACGAAGTATGAGAAAAAATCTGTTTGTTCCCGTAACTCGGAAATGGCTGGAAATATAAAAAAAAATCCTCCTGGTTATGAGTAGAGCGCTCGGTGGGTGAGACACAACATATCAGAGAAAAAAGTTTTTTCTCTGATATGTTGCAGAGAAACAAGTTTTTTCTGGTACCTCGGAAAGGTCAAAAAAAATGTTTTGCGACCAAGGGTGTGTGACGTCATGGAGTAAAAAAATGGTAATAACTCGGAAACGGTGTGTTGAATCGAAAAAATAATTGAAAAAATCTTCTCAACACTCCTGGTTCTGATTGTCTGTTCCAAGGTCCAAATTACGTCGAAAAAAATTTCGGAAACAAGAGGTGTGTGACGTCATACGATAAAAAAAGCCTTATAACCCGGAAACGGTGCGTTGAATCAAACAAGTAATTTAAAAAAATCTATCCTACATTCCTGGTTCTGATTTTCCATTTTGCGTTGAATGCAAAAGGTCTGCAACAACAGTAGGGAAGGCATTATCTTATATCTGTTCGCCTTGAGGTTCCAATAATTTTATTAAATAAAATTTTCAAGAAAATTAAAAATTAATGTACTTTTCTTAAGGAAATTTTACATTGTTTAATCTTTTTGAATACCCTGTGCTACAAATTTGAGCACTAATTTGGTCAGGCTGTACCTCAAAAACCTCCAGTGTTCTTTTAATCACACATTCACACATTTCTGTTACATCAGTAGGTACCTACATTGGATAACATTATATATTTCCAATATCAAAAACCAGTTGCAAATAATTACATTTTTAGATGTATGTACATATTTGATGCGTTTATGCCAAAATATCTGCAAAAATTAAATTTTGATTTGAAACAAAATTATACCTTTTAATTTAAAATTTTGTAAACTTTGTAAATCTTTCTAATTGTCAGGCAGATTTTTGAAAAATTTTAATGAAAAACACATCTTACCTAAACTACCCTGTCCGAATTGTACATAAATTTTATTTTATCACCATGGAATTTTGAGATTTAACATATTTATTACATAGCATTAACATTGGTAATGCCAAGATTTAGGGAATTTTCTTTTCCAGTGCCAGCTCTGCAACGTTGGTTGCCCAAGCTCGGCGTAACGTGGCTTGTAAACATTTATGAAGGCTCTGTATGTATACTATTAGTTCTCGTTTGAGATTCATTTGAGATTGAATAATTTGATGATTTGATGATTTTTTGATGATTGACTTTTGATGATTTGATTGAATGAATTTGAGATTGAATTGATTCATTTGAGATTGAATAAGGACACTATTTATGAAATTTAAAATTCCATTTATTTAAATAATTTAAGTAGAAATATAATCATTGTTATTTATTTTTCAAAGTCTCTCACATATTTGAACTAGGAAAATGTATCACAATTCATTTTCAGTTTTGCTATGTTGGCGTTACAAATTCGTCGTCCTTTTTTGTTTTCCCTGAGTTATAGACCGACTTGACCATCTGTTGCTGTTTCTTCTGGAATCCCGCAGACTGCCATCCTTCTCGGAGCTGTTTCCTCTTTCCATCGGGGAATATTGTTTGAGTGAATTTCCGTTCTGATATCGCTGTTCCTTTTCACGGGGGCTGGAGATTCGAATCTTTGTTGATCCATCGGCACCTAAAACAAAAACAAATTATTTTCTATTAATAACAGTTTTCTTGTATTTTTTTAGTATTTCGTTACACAGTATATTAAAAACAATTAAAGAAATATTAGCAAATGAACCCCTGCACCACAAGAAACAGATATACGTCTAAGAAAGTTATCATCCATCCATCCATCCATATTAAAGAAATATTAGCAAATGAACCCCTGCACCACAAGAAACAGATATACGTCTAAGAAAGTTATTTTTTTACTGCTTGCATATCACTAAGAGGATAAACTCGATTCGTGGTTTTAATAATTAATCGTTGGACCCATTTTTTCGGGGATGATTTCTAGGCGTACAATGAGAATTTTCATGAAGAAATTGTGAAATAAATAAATTACGGAGTTCCAACTTTGGAATTTTGAAATGGGTTGTACCTACATACAAACAGCAATTTTTTATTTATCTCAAAATTTCAATTTTTCATAAAGTTACAGCTTTGTGAAGTTTGATAAATAGTATAGAAGAAAATTTAATTTTGTTAAAAATGAAAAAAATATTTGGACCCTTTTTGAGATATCAGGCTTATACCTCTATTTTAATTTTTTATTTTCTAAATTCCGTTAAAATTTTTTTTTTCATAATGGAAGTGCTTTTTGCAAGCAGACAAATCATTCTCTAAAAAATGGTATAGTGTTTCCCAGTTTCTCCGCCACTGATGGCGCTAGATTCATGATATTGCAGTATTTTATGAAAACTTGTTTCAATATAACTTACACCAAATTTAGTTCAAATATCTTTATTATGTCAGATGACATTTACAGTAAATGATTTTTTTTAGAGAACTTTAAAAACCCTCTATCGCACGAAAGCGATTGATATTTCGATATAAGTTTGTAAGACAGTGTATCATAATTTTTTGTTGCTCCATCCGCTCCCGAAGTTTGATAAATTAAAACTGGTACAACCTGTACAGTGTTACAGAAGTGAATGAAAAAATAACGAAGGATACAACAAAAAACAAAACGATTTTTTCCTACGGAATTATTTTTAGGCCCTGTAACTTTTTAAGAAAGCAAAATAGTGCCCAAGTAAATTGATTGATAGGTTTACTTTAATTCAAAGAAGCTACCCTTGAAGTGTATAAAAACCTAACCTCAAAAAAGTTGTGTCGTAAAATGTTACTGAAATATACAGAAAGCCCTCTAGCAGATGGTCAAAAATTAACATCACTGACGTAGTAAGTACCTATGTAAAATTTTAATGTAATATATTGCTTTTTGGATTTTGGAAAATACATGCTACAGCTCATTATCAAAATATGCCTACTTTCATTTTTACCAGCCGGCAATGGTGGATATACATGGTAAATTTTCTTTAGCAGACTAGAAATGAGACATCCTATACATAAATAGTGACGTACTAAATGCCCCGGGCAAATTTTACCCATGTTTCCAATCCGCATCAAGAAGTTACCCGTAGAGCACGAAAAAGCTTCAAAAACACTCATATAGAGTAGTACTTGTCCGTGGTCATCGAGCCTATCATCAGATTTGTACCGATGTTTTGAATTTCTCTGCCGGAGCCCAAATACTCTGCAGACATATGTACTAAGTCAGATGACACGACACCTACAGAATTCAATGCTGTTCGCACTGATGCTTTGAATTGACCTAAAATTCACAGAAATTATTCAGTGACCACCAAACAATATCCAACGATGCAAGGTACCTAGCTAAAATTAAAATTAGAGTCACCTTCGACGGCGGATCAAGATGTTTCCATTGCAAGAGCGCCCGAAATTCGAAAATAGGAATCTGGCAGAACCATAAAGAATTGCGCTTGAACGTCGATCATTGTCATCGCGAGATCATCGTTAACCACGGCCATGGGTCTGGTTGTTCGTTTAGCAAATGGAAGGACATTTTTTATGAGCACTACAAGGTGCATATTTTAGCGTTAAGAGAGAAACTAAAAAGATACTATAATATAAACAGTTAAAGATCTAATAAAAGTTTTATGTCTGTTAACCAATTGTTGTTTACTACTATCTATCTATCTATCTATCTATCTATCTATCTATCTATCTATCTATCTATCTATCTATCTATCTATCTATCTATCTATCTATCTATCTATCTATCAGCACCAGATGGCCATATTTTTGCACTTCTTTATATTTTTACAAGGATAATCTAATTATTTTATTACGTATATTACTGAGATGTTAGCGTTGAAATATTATCATTGTGCTACAAATAATAATACTATGTACTATATGTGGGTTTCAGGAATCTTTGAAACACAATATACATATCAAAAGTTACGAGTGTAGTAAGACGAAGAAAATCGTTTGGAATTTAATACTTGTCAGGTGAAGCGAATTGTTTGAAACGTTCAAATTTCAGACGAAATATGTCTATTAAAAATAATTTGTAGTTCAGAAATTTTCCACACATATTTTTTAAGCTACGATAAAATATAGGTATGACTCAAGAATTAGATACAATCAGTTTTTTTCAATCTTCAAACTTGATAAATATTTAAGGTTTTGTTCAAGTTTAGACTCTACATACTTTAAACTGACTTTGTAAACACAATTTATACCATATTATGTAAATGTAGAAATTACAAGTTTCAAATTAAATTGGCTATTTGTAATATAATATCTACCGGGTAGGAAAGTACCGATGGTCTATCTGAAGTTACGTGAGAGCGATAAAGTAAGCCATAGAAATCCATGCGATAGAGAAGGATGGCTATAACGAAGGCTTCTCATGGTCACCGCCCGTTTCGCCCTTCCACAAATAAGATCCACTTCTTATCTGTGGAAGGGCGAAATGGGCGGTGACAATTAGACGCCTTCACTATACCCATCCTTGTCTATCACATGGATTTCTATGGCTTACTTTATCGCTCTCACGTAACTTCAGATAGACCATCGGTACTTTCCTACCCGGTATAGCTACCGTTGTGTCAGTATAGTACAAATTTAACTGGTCTTAGGTGACGTCATGCGCAGATAGGATGAAATTGAACCGGTTGACGATATCACGATATTCAATGCTATCTAAATGCTATGCAATCTATAGACATATTTGATTGAATACCTACGGTACATTTTTTAAATTCAACAACCTCCGTATCGAAAACCTGAAGCTTTATTTAGATCCTTAGTTCATTAAGGCTGTTTGGTTTAATATGATTCAAAGGATTATGTGCTGAAATTATGGTACTGATTTAGAAAACACCCTGTATATAAACAAAGTTAACGTCAAATCAACTACGTTGACCCCAATGCAACATATTTTATTTATTGTGAATGACGAATGGACCTTTGAATGTAAAACCCTTTAATAATATATTTGGTTCTTGTCCATCATAACAACGTATTCAATATCAAGTAATTTTGAGAGATAAGTTTAATAATCGCTTCTGTCAATATCGCTTCAGACGTGATACAGTAGGCGCCTTTCCAGGAAAAGAAATATACAGCGATCGATATACCTGTATGTCAACATGCATGTCATATTGAACCATAATATTAGTTCTAAATTTTTAAAGAATACATTCGAATTTGAAGATGGAGTAGAATCGAAAAATAAATAAAATAAATTGATAAAATGATATACTAATAACTATACAATTTGTTAAAGAAAAAGTAAAATTTTGTTTATGGCGAAATATCGCATAGATAACAACTGTTTGACCCAGATGAGTATAATATCAAACTGCTTCATATCACTGAAGCTTCAATATACTAAAATTACATTTCCAGGAACAGTTATTTGTTTACTATATTATGAAGTTTGGTTGACCAACATATTCCCATTATATCAACATCAATTTGTGCACATATTGCATATATGTATCTAGTATAAAATCATAATTATATTTCTCTCAGTTTTGTTTTCATAAATTGTTGATCTATATTATGGTTGGACTGTACCTACATCAGTTATTTAGAGGATTTGATCTTTTCGGGAACCAATCCGCAAACATTTCCTAAGTGCGTGAACAAGTGTTACAACACAAATATAAATATCCCTTTCAATTTAAAAAAGTACAAATAAGTGAAAGTCAAATGATAAAGTTTGCTGTGTTGTCTGTCTACAAGCGCATAAGATTTTATTAAGGGATATTTTAGGACGTTGATAAAGAATTCAGTCAGTTTTTCTAAGCAGATATGCACAAAATTACTAATTACGTTTTTGACAAAAAATCAAATTAAAACTATTACTTTTGACAGAGATACAGAGGTGCCTCTAACAGAAAAGGAAAAAAATGGAAAAATTTGGATATATGGAGGGCTGAAAGTAAATATCAATGAAGAATAATCTTACCTGATTTTGAGAAAGAATGAGAGTGTCTTCCAATAGCTGGCGAATCTTCATTCCTATTAAATCTGCAAATGTTCCAACCACAAATTGCGGATTTGAAATATTGTCGAAACCTGCAATATCAAAGTTTATTTTAAATTTACTATCTAGTTTTATTTAAAACAGGATGCGATAAAATTGTTGTCTAAGAAATCGCGTGAGATGTAGGGATTTTTAAATCGGGATAAAGTTGTGTAATTTCCGAAACAATTTCCGGAGAGATATTCGAATAATGATTCGTTTTTCAGGTTTATTTGAGACACCGCAAACGGAACTAGAAAAACTTCTTGAAAGGTCAAATATACTTCTGTATTTCAATATGGAAACAGATTTTTAATGTTACGATTCTTTTTTAACTATTACTGTTTTTTAATCCACATTCCAAGTTTAATGATGTCTTGTTCAGTAACGTTTCGAACCGCAGTTTATTCACATGATATTTTTGTGTACAATGTCTATAGAAATTTCAATATTTTTAATTCATTTTAATACAGTATTTTCAGTATGTTGTAAATAACTAATTGATGTGAAATTAAAAAAAATCTATATTTAAAGTACGATCATTTTTCGGGTTGTTAAGCACTTCTTTTGACTTATCTATGAATCTTTGACCTGCTTCAGTGGTGATTCTGCAAAAGCTTCACCGCGACTGAGAAAACTGAACCGACTCCGAAAATCACTGTACTTTAAATTACAGCACGGGCCGTGAAAACTTTAAATCAGTGACGGCTCTTGACTTCCATATCGGAGAGGGCGGAAATATTTAGGTACAAAGTATTGAAAAAAAAATCAAATATAATTGAGTAGTAATTATTTTAATTGAAATATAGGGAAAATGTGCTCAACATGAAGATTGGACAATCTTCTGCTTTTGTGCGAAATTAACTTTTCAATTTATTTTTCATTAATGTTTGGAATTTGCCGCAGCATTAATTTTTCAATAGATAGATAGCATTGCAAATGCTGTTAGTCTGTCTCTACAATCGAATTTAAACTTTTACAATATTTTAAAAAACGCGCAAGAAACAATACGTTGGTAGATAAAAAAATTTTACACCACGGATAAACAAATTACATCTAATCAGAAAACAAAGGGGCGAAGAGCTATTATTTGGTTGCTGGCAAATTAAACAGAGCCCAAACTGCATAGTAAATTTGCACTACTACCACTCCATCTTTCAATGCTGAGAGACGGTAACCGTGACCACCTCTGTAAACATTTTCCAGATTTAGAAGCGAGCTAGGAGGAGCCCACGTATTCTGTGTTTTTGAAATGAATTTTAAATTTTTTTACTACAAAAATTTTCAGGGCCTTAAAGCCATTATTTTTCGATGTAATTTTTGCCAGGTTCTGGCCACTTAAGGAGGTATATCGGGTTTACTCAAATGCACAGATGTAATTGAAATTTATATAGCGTATTACCCAGTGCTCACTCTGTGCGTCATATTTTTTTGAAATTTTTTTTTTAATCTAGAGTTTGAGACATTGTTGTTGAAAGTTGTTCATTTTAACATAGGTTTATATGGCGAAGATGGAGGGTGCGGCTCTTTTTTGCCCATAACTGAGAAAAAAATGTAGAAATTGTGAAACAAAACTTTTCCATAGATAGTACACGAGTATTATCTTATTTTTGATGTAAAACTAATGTAAGTTTTGAACATAGCACAGCTGTATTAATTAGAAACAGAAACCAATAATTACATTTCTGTCTGACTTGAGGATTAATGTGGCAACGTCGCAACCAGCTGACAGCAAGGAGGGAATACATGAATATTGAAAGACTTGATAAAAACAAAATTGATTTCAAACATATACATTTTTCCTAAATCCCATGTACATTGTTATCAACAATAAATTATCCACAACATATGATTTTTTGTAATGTTTTTAAAAAAATAGATTAATTAAAAAGACTAGGAAGCTGTGATATATTTATTAAAATAAAAAAATACAGTTAATAAATCCTTTTAATATATTTAATGGTTTGTAAAAACATCGTTATTCACCAGCAATATTTAGGGTTACATAAAGTTTTCTTTACTTGATTAATATAATTAGTAATATTTGAGATAAAAGCATTTGTACGGAATAACAAAGGAACATAAATATTTCTCAGCAAACTTTATATCTAAAAAAAATTAGTTATAGTTGCAAAACTTTTGTAACATTACTAAAATAGAGATTAAAAACACGAACAGTGGGTAATAATGTAATTTCTATCACAGAACATTCAAAATTGCATCCAACATTTTCTTCGACTTGGACGAGATATGGGCGCGAGTGTCATTTCATTTCTTTAGAACTAAATTAACATCATTCTCGTTGTTTTACCAGTTTACATTATTTACGGATTTTAAATAAAGGATACAAATCTTCGCGAGGATAATACGAAATATTTGCTATACTTATACAATAATTATATTGTACATAGTTTACACACAATACATTTTTGAACGCGTACGCATCTTTACCCGAATTTGACGTGCAATATCTCCGATGTCCGAGGTCTGTAGGTTCGCAGTGTGTACAACTACTAGTCGATTATTAGCGCTGTTGCCACATCTACATAGTCTTTATGCGTTCATTAAATATAATTTAAAACTACTTAAATATGATATTTTTATGTTGTTAATTAGTCAATATGTATGCTATGTGCATATGAGTAGATTTCTTTGCTATATAGATAATGTCTATCGCAAATAATTTCAATAGAATTTAATTTTTTCAAATTGGCAGCGAGCCAATAAGAAAAGTATATTACCCCCCTGCGCTCCTCACTTCCCTCGGACCCCAATATACCTCCTTAAGAATATGAGTAACCGTCAAGTATAAATACAAGTTCTTGCCTCTGCAAGTTAGACAACTGTATGCAGATATTTGGTAAGGCAAGACTTCTTGGCAGACATAAACGTAAAAAGTTGAAATGAAAGTAATTTTCCTTCCACATAAAGAATTGATTTACCTATTAGCCTACAACGTTATTTTTTTATATTGATCCAAATATAATCAAAATTATGACTGTCTTGTAACATGGACATTCGTTATTTGATTAAAACTTGCTTCATTCCAGTACAAAATTCTATTAAGGAGATAAATGTTTGTGCGCGAACATCTACAAACTGAAACTTAAAATACCCTACACCGGAGTTTAGTTGGAACCAGTTCAACTTATTTCATCTGGCCGGTGAAGGTGCAGTGGCAAAGTGAAGGAGAGGACTGTACAGCTCATACAGTTAAAGTTGTAAATTCTCGCAAAAAGTAAAGAAGTCCATATAATGTGAAATAAAAATTTTTCTGACAATCTAGATGTCTCATCATATAATATCTGTAATATATCTCTTAAGCGCGTTAGCGAGTAAGACGTTATTTGGGCCTCTAAGAAACTTAAAGACAAAATGACAGCTGGTGTTGATCGCATCCCGAGTTTCCTGATCAAAGACTGCATACGAGTTCTAGCTAAACCGCTCTCACATATATTTAATCTATCTCTTTCAAAAAATAAATTTCCAGACATATGGAAAACAGCTCGAGTATGCCCCATACCCAAGAAAGATGATCCATTTATTATCCAGAACTATAGGGCTATATCAATTTTTCAAAACTCTGGTGGTGCATACATCTCGCATACATCTCGCAGCAACCTTTTGATGAAATCACAAGTACATGTAATGGCTAGCAATTTTAATGCAATTTGTAGGGAATGTGATATTCATGCCGACGCGACAGTCTTTACAAAATTAAACATTACTTCTTTAAATCTGTAGATTTACTGCTGTTATGTTGTTTTAAGCATATCGGCATCTAATAATTTAAACCTGCTTTTGTATTTTTGTATTTGTTATTTTGTATGATTTTTTTTTTATTTTCAATGTATATCTTTCGTTTTTCATGCGTTTCCTGTAATTGGGTGTATGTATACCTGCCAGAAATAAATGTCATTATTATTATTATTATTATTATTATTATTATTATTATTATTATTACTATTACTATTATTATTATTATTATTATTATTATTATTATTATTATTATTAATTATTATTATCAAAATAAAATTTTAAATGTGTAAAGCAGACAAGTACTAAGTAATATAATAATGAATAACAAATACATCTGTATTATGTATATACCCAGTTGTGTTTTAATGCATTTAACGGCAGCAGTGAATCCTCTAATTTTTTGTATATTACATGTGAGATGCCAATCTCACCTGTCAGATTAAATTGGCTGAATTCATTCATTATTTAAAATAAAAGTACTTATTTATTTTAGATTCACTCTGTATAACATTTACGGAAAATATCTATTCGATAATAATACATTGTATTTTCAGTTACGTTCACCAAGACCTACCTAGACTAGGTATTTCTTCGAATGATTTTCACAGAACTTGTTACAGACTTAATATAATTTGTTTGTCTATCGAATCAAAATATTTTGTGGAATCTATTATGTTTAGGTGGTCATTGTAAAGGAAAACATTACAATCCCATTAACTGATGTAAAAAATATCTTATATCTTTTGTGTTCTGTAGGTAATTAATTACTATTGTCGTAGGTTTCTTTGAGAATATGTTAACGGTATATTCAGAATTGTCAATATTTCAGTGAGAAATAAAAATGAAGGAGGAATGTAATATAAAGGATTTTTTATAAGGGTCGTTTTTAAGTATTCCCTTAAAAGAGATATTGACCGATATTAAATGTGAATAGACAATTTATGAAATATTTTTCACTTTAATGTGGTATTTAGATAATTTTAAGAAAAGTGGCTAATTAAATTAAAATATGTGCCCTTTGATAACTTGATTGATAATTTCAAATTACATTTTCGCCTGTTTTACTCTTTCTTTCTGGGCCTATAATTATGATACTCATCCAAAGGGAATGCTTCCGCAACTTTATTTTTTGGTGCTGCGATTCCAGCAAATAAATCAAGCAGTGAAATGAGCAAGCCAGTTGTTATAAAAGTTCTATTTTTCATTATTTTTAATAATATAATTTGAAGCAGTTAGAGATAAAGTTACTCGGAAGACTTAGATTCTCCTTTTTTCAAGTTTGCGGAAGAGATATTTTTCAACTTGAAATGCTGACGACGCTAGCATATTTAAAATGTAATATTTCCTTTATTCTTTTAAAAGATTGTGGTACTGAACACATTTGGATATAGCTAATCGAAGGGTGTGTAATTAAACGTCATTTTTTTCATCGTCTTTTACATATATTTGATCAGTACGCGTGATTATTTCAATTTAATTCAACAACAATTCAATTAACTATCATTCACCGGCTTCGGTTGAACGGCCAGTACGCAGCCGGAGTGTTTTTTTTATTATCTGTTAATTGACAACTCACAGTTTTTATTATCTGTTAATTGACAACTCACAGTTTCATTCGGGGTGTTCGTTCTACCGAAAATTCTACGTAATTTGCGCACAGTCTCAGCTACACACTCTCCGTACTTGTAATGAATTTTCACAATCTTCACTCGCTCATCCTTCGTATAGCGCTCCATTTTGTTTAACTACAATTGTTTACTACAACATGTGACTCTGCACAATGCTGAGAATTCTTCTGAATCAGAATGGCGCACAATTGAAAGCCTGTGTTATTTTTGGGACACCCATTATAAAAAATCTTTAGACACTTGAGGAAATATCTAACTTGTAAATCTCAACGAAGTGAGAAAAACGTGCATTTAGAATAACTTATCGAAAATGTTACCGATGAATTAGCGATAACTCATCGACTCTGTTAGCCAAGTATTTGCATCGACCTGTTTTGTTTATGTTTGTAATAATCCTGAGAATCACTACACAATTCCAAATACACACATATCTAGTTTAATTTAGCTTTACTTTGAATTATTTCCAGTTGGTCCTTTTGTGGGAATTCCTCTTTTAACAATTTCAATTTGTATTCTATTCCTGGTAGCAAAATCTTGCACATATAAGAAACTTATACAAGACTGCTGCGTACCTACTGCTAAAGTCAGCATCAGGTTTACTGCAAGATTCATTGTGCAATTGTCTTGATCAAACCTTTCAATGGATTTGATTCAGGGCACTTGAGCACAAAGGGGTAAATTAAAGCAAATGACTATGTTGCCGACTTACATTATAATTAAGTAAGACATATTGCACTTGACTTTAATAATTCACCCCTTTAGACTCAAGTACTTTTGGTTAAGTCTGGTGAAAGTATTGTATTCTTGCATAAGAAACGATATAAATTTCAGCAATAGACACAAAACAATCTGACACAATTTGGCTATTTCAAGTAAACTTGAAACAACTTGTATTAGAATTGCACACGATTGTGCTACCAGGGATAATATCCTTTATATCCTTCCAACGAAGGAAGTTATTTGACTTCTTATATTTACAAATCTTTAAAGGATGCTGATATTTAGCTCGAAATAAAGAAATAGGTCCGCAGATGAGTAAGTAGAAGTAAAGTAGGTAGTAGGTAGAAGTAAAACTTGCATTTACTTGAAAGCTATGTCATAGTTTATTATAAATTGTAATTTATTTTTTTATATTGCCTGTTATATTTTTAGTAAATCAAAGTTAGATTGGGATTAAATTGTTTTCCATTTTTTATATAATGTTTTAGGATTTGACTATTTTATTTGACTCGATGTTAATTATACAGAAAATAAGTAACACGTTTTTCATTATTTCTTTTATTCTTGATTTTTTATGCAAAAAGGAGGAAATATTTTATTTCGAATTACTACGGGGATGGCACAATTTGTGGAGTTTTGTACATTAGAAGGATTAGCAGCACTAACGACAAATACACAATCGATTTTATGATTCCGATAGACATAATAATATCAGTTTATGAAATATTTGTATTGATGTTTCATTGCTATTAAATCCGGTGTATGGTAGATTTACTCTTATGCGTTTAATTTCTTATGTTTATACCGACGATGTTTTTGAATTATGCTAAAGAAATACTTTCTTTGATACATTCAACCAAGTTTCTTTTAGCTATGTACTAGTGTAGTTCTGTTATGCTCTGATATCAGTTGTGAAATTACGCTAACTCGTACCAATCACAATAAGTTTCGGCTTTAGTAGAAGTATGCCATCTCACTTGGAGACACTTTTTTATTATCAAATGTTTTGACAACGATAAAACGCTTTACCTAAAAAAAATATTATTACATTTGTTAAGACTTAGCTAAAGTGACAGTTGAATCAACAAAAAAATAAAAGCTTTTCCAAACGTACCATGGAGTTTTAAATATAATGATGGAAAATATTCAGGCTCATTTAATGGGTATAACAAGAACTTATTTTAGTTATGTTTAGCGGCACTAACTTAATTTATAGGAAATTTGCAGTTGCGTCCTTTTGAATAAGCAGGCCATAATATTATAATACTTGCGATCAGCAGACATATGAAAGGTCTATAAATAAATGTAAATGAAGTCAAAAAATGCGGTTGAAGGATACGTCATCATGTTTTGTATTTCTTTATGCACAACATAACCGAAAATCAAAAGATTCATGATTAGACATCGGAAACTTTGTGGCGAAAATCAAATAAATAAACAGTAGTAATCTACATTATGCTAGTAAGCGGCAATACGCGTTGTAGTAGCAGAAGTAGGCTAAATCTGAGGTCAAGCCGTGCACCACTCTATGCTCACGATACACAATGCTACATGTGCCATACACTCGACCAAGCAAAGCGTCAAACTCACTCATACACGCACACACAGCAAAAACCTGGATTGTTCCATATGAGTATTTATTGACTCATATGGATTACCCTCACGCTAGGCCGACAGAGTAGGTATTAGAGTGCCGCTAGATACGTATCGAATAAATTGATCGATGCCAAGTTTCAGATCAGAGGCAGTTATGGTACAGGTTCTTGTACAATGTCGCGGATAGTGGAGTTACTAAAATACATATAAAGTAGTTGATGCTTCGCTACCATTAGTAAAAATAGCATCTATTAAAATCTTTAACTATATTAGATATGGGCCTGGGACCTCGGTAAATGTTAAACGCTCATTTTCGTCTTTGAAATGGGTATTTACCCATCGTCGGAGACGATTAATCGCACAACACTTAGGACAACCGTTAATTATTTTTTACAAACGCTTTGTTGTATCACTTTTTGTTTGAATAAAAATACATAAAAGAGAACTCTGTTAACCCTGTACCATATTGCATCCGCTGCCCGAACATTACCGATCTTATTCATGATATACATGTTAAGCATTTGCTTAACATGTATATCATGAAAGAAATGGCAACAAAAAAATGGAAACGATCATACTGTAACACTACGCATATAAGACTCACCCTGTTTTGTAGACGTGTATGAGGAATATACTAATTTATTCGAGGGAATGTTTACACACACGTGCTATGTAACTTACCTAGCATTCATCCAGTAATATATAAGGGGGTTCACCATCGCATTTGACATAGCAAACCAGTAGAAGCCCAGATATACGTGCTGGGTGTATTTGCTGAATATCACGTTCGTGTCGTAGTAAATGTAAATGAAGTACGCGTGATATGGAAGCCAACATATTCCGAATATCAACACCACCGATATGAACATTTTGACCACCTGAAAGAAGGCTCAAATTAGTGGGAGATAATATATTTTAATATAAGTAAAAAGGTAATAGGTACTCTAATTGTCTATTTAGAAACACATTTTCTTTATGAAATCAATATACATGATAAAAGGACTTTGTTTAATCGTTGTATCCTTGAATACCAAGAAAGGAAATATACAGGGCTGGAAAATCCACATTGTCCTTCTTCCTTTACATGAGAGCGACAAAGTAAAGTAAAGAAATCCGTGCGATAGACAAGGATGGCTAGAGTGAAGACGAATAGTCACCGCCCGTTTCGGGATAGAACTATTCAGATTATGAAACATCTTCAATGTAACCATTCTTGTCTATCGCACGGATTTCTATGACTTACTTTATCGCTCTCACGTAACGGCCGATGTACCCTGGGGACTTTCCGAACCTGTATAATGATGTTTTCCAGATTTATTTTTTAATTGCTGACTTACTGTTTTATATTGTTATAATTTCATGTTTGCTTAATCTATTTTGTCATCAAAATAAAAAATATTAGGATATATAATTTTATTGTATTGTATTTAGTACACAAACATGAGAAATAGTATTACACATTAGTTCNAATATTATAATATATACATGACTATGTTTAATCGTTGTACCCTTGAATGGAAATAAACCAAGAAAGGAAATATACAGGGCTGGAAAATCCAAATTGTCCATCTTCCTTTACATGAGAGCGACAAAGTAAAGTAAAGAAATTCGTGCGATAGACAAGGATGGCTATAGTGAAGACGTTTCATGATCTGAATAGTCACCGCCCGTTTCGGGTTAGGACTATTCAGATTATGAAACATCTTCAATGTAACCATCCTTGTCTATCGCACAGATTTTTATGACTTACTTTATCGCTCTCACGTAACGGTCGATGTACCATGGGGACTTTCCGAACCTGTATAATGAGGTTTTCCAGATGTATTTTTTAATTGCTGACTTACTATTTTATATTGTTATAATTTCATGTTTGCTTACTCTATTTTGTCATCAAAATAAAAAATATTACGATAAATAATTTTATTGAATTGTATTTAGTATACAAACATGAGAAATAGTATTACACATTAGTTCCATAATAAGCAAAAAAAGAAATACTACAGCGTTTTAGATTTATTTTCTAAGTTCATAGTAGAGGAGGAAGATGCACACAGACTATATCTTCGTTCTATACTGTGAACTCGTATAATAAAAGGTGGAAATAGCCTCAGTGCGCAATGAGTGTAAAAGTGAAATTATATCGAGGACGTTGTTATATGAAAATACTTTATGTTTCAAACTTCCCGCAATTAAAAAATAGTTCTCGTGGCGACCGCTTGGAGCGCTGTGTATGTTTAGTTTTCCGTACTGAGATACCAATTTATACTGTTTCTTTATAAGTAGTCAAGATATCCTGATTAAGAGAGTAGTAATACCTAAAGGTAGGCAAAACGGTTCAATTCCGAGATCTAAGTAATCTGAATCATCACTATGAACCGGTTTATTGAGTGGGTTTAATTAAGCCATGATTGGAAGACCGAACGAATCGTATCAATTTGTTTTTCGGGTTTTTGTATCTCGGATTTCGGTGTTGTCTTTTTTCATTCCCAATTTTCGTATTAGTGCATCACGATGATCGCAAATTTTACTGTTTTAGATTTTGAAAAATGCCTAAAAGCTGTTATTTTAATGAAGCTATCTATACATATGCAAAATGGAAGATATTTTAAAAAAGTATGATATTCCGAAAACCACAATTGAATTTAAAATTAAAAGTCCAGATACATTGGCCCGTCGCCAATATTTTCGCTAGCTGTTGGAATAACAAAAACACCAGGATGTAATTGAAATAAAGAAACTATTAAAATTAGATGGAACAAAGAGACTAAAACGGAAAAGGAAGCGCGAAGAAACCAAAATAAATAATCAAAAATAGATATAAATTTAATAAAAAGAAAGAAAAAGAATATCAAGAGAAATGTTTTGTGTGCGAAAGAATATGTATAAAGAACATCTGATTTTCATTTCATTTTTATGTTATATGTGTTATAAAGAAGAGTAATAATGAAAATGACATGGCCATTAGCATACTAAAAAAACTAATTAGAGTTTGACTACATATTTTATATTTTGCTTAAGAAAAATATAATCTTTGTACATATTTTATTTTATTATTTAATGATAATAATATAATACGTGTTTATCTCGTCCAGTTACTTTTGTCTAATTACCATGTAAACTGTCCAATAGATGTACTTTTTGGTTTTTTAAAATTAAGAACTATAAAGTAAATTGGAAAAACAAGCTAAAGTTGTAAAATTCCTTTTAGATGATATGATAAGCTTTCTTTTCATTAGAACAAATACGACATATTTAAAAATTTTCCAAAAAAATAAATCCTGAACTGTCCAATGACTACACTGTTTACCCTACTAAATATTTATTTAAGGAGCTGAACATTTTTAAACATTTATCATCTATAAAGCAATAAAAGAATATAGATTTGCAAAATGACCAAATTAGTTAAGAACCGCTCGTTAGATGACACACAGAAACAAGAGCTGATGAACCGGTTCTTCAGTTTTCTGTGATTCGGTTCATTTCGTTCACAAGTGAGGTCTGGTCCTTTCGAACGTGTCATTCGCCAACGACACAGCTCTAGTAGTGTCCATTGTCTAGAAGGTATGTTACTAATATTGTATTATCAAGAAGGAAGAGTAATATTAAAAGCATACCTTAAACAATACAAGTAGGGTAAGGTTGCGTCAGTCGTAATATTTAGTGTAATTTAAATGAAAGAAAATCTTCTGCATCTACTGAAACTTTATTTATTTATCTTTTAACTAGCATTTATAGAAACCCAAAAATCTTTTATCAAAAGAGGTATTTTCACGTTTTTCATAAAAGACCTTCGGTACGAATAAGGCGCCTGGTTACCTAATTCGTACCACCTATAGCCTAAGTCGTGCTTAGAATAAGACTTCATTGAAGATATCATAAACTATATGGAAAAATAAAAACTAAAAACAGCTCAGTGTACAATCAACTTACAATCTAATTTTAATTTTTTTTTGGACTTCGCACAGTCTCAAAGTCGAACTTAATTACCAAGTAAATTGCACAAAGAAAACAAAGTTATAATTTCTTAATAGCTGTGACAATTTATTGATCAATTAATTCATGAAGTCGCTTCATCAAGAAATTGGACAAGTGTAATGCACCAAATCTGCTGTCAAATAACTTCATGAATTTATTCATCAAGTTCTTGACGAATTAGAGCATGTTCTAATTTTCGTCAATTTCTTCGTGAAGTTCGGAAGTACCAACCCAACAGATTACCAGCCTCAGATCAGTAATGAGGTTATGTTATTGGAAAACGTAAATAATTGTGTGGCGTCGTGCTAGTTTTGCATTGTTTTTACTGATTTGTTATTTACAAAAACTAATATTTATATAATATGTGTCAGAACGGTACCGCTGTTGTATCACTACAATTATGAGTGGAAAGGTGACATTTTTGAAATTTATTTGCTTCTTTGATTCATTG